TCTTTTTTATGCCCCCTTTTTACCGTCAACTCTGAAATCCATTATTTTCAATACCATCAAAGCCCATTAGGGCAACCCCGTGGTTTGGTGCCCGAGGACAACTATCTCTTCTGCCCCCCTTAACTACGCCTCTGGCCACTGCCCACCCAAAAATCTAAAATCTTCCCCCCTCATAAGAAATTGTCAGACAGAAACACTGCTCTTGCACAGAAAATGCAAGCAATATTAAAACCCTGTAAGGGTTTCAAACTCATTATTTTTATGGCAGAGCCATGTGCATACAAGCAGTGACGTATCTAAGGTTAGTGCCAACGAGAAATTGCACCCCCCCCCCCCCAATTCCACTGCTCATAACTACACTAGACTAATATATGTTAGATTTTATTAATATATAAATAAAACTAGTTTTACAAGAAGATTATTTTTTATTTTTCTATGGACTTGTAAAGTTTTTAATCAAACTGTTCCTAACGTCCAGGTGTCTAAAGTAAGATATGGGGCGCTACCTTTAAATTTGTGTCCTAATTATTCTCTCCCCCCCCCCCCCCCCAACCTCCTATTTTTTTCAGTGCCCCTGAACTACATTCATATTCTAATGTACCACCCGCTTTTACACCACAGATTTATTACACCATTTTATCAACAACAACAAAAAATATTAAGCGCCAAACACACTTAAAATATTTTTTTTTAAAGAATCTCATTTATTGCAGTTATCAGGAATGTTATTTCATGATATCAGTGGCATCATATTTCCCTCATACTCCCCTTGGAAATCAGGAAAAATTTATTTTTGGGGGTGTGATGGAAAATTTGGTAGAATGTGTTGTCTCCGGGAATGAGTCTATGTACCAAGTTTCAGCTTGATAGGTTGATGGTGAGTGGGTCAGTTAGCCATCCGAAGATTTTGCCACACACTCAAAGAAACACACAAACAAAAGCAAAGTTAATATAAAGGATTTAAAAAGCAACAACCCAAGTGTTTGGTTTTGTTGTTGTTTTGATACCGCTAACCAGGTCAGACAAATAATGATAATTTAAGAGTTGAAGGTCATGATTGCTCAAGTACAGAACTTGTTCTCTCAGCCTGATAAATTTATCCATCTACCAATAATCCCATTCAGCTGGCTAAATTTAATCATCTACCAATAATCCCATTCAGCTGGCTAAATTTAATCATCTACTAATAATCCCCATGTAAAAAAGGTGACCACACAAGTACAAAGCATGACACAGTTTGTTTAAATAGTTTATTATTTTTGGCTGGGTATGTTAAACTGGTTACAAATATGTCACTTTACTATATTGAAGAAGATGCCAGTTTTTGTAACAAAAGTGTTGTGTAACAAAAGTGATCAATCAATAACAATAAAAATGTATGGAACCCTATTAGGCAATGAATATGCTCTTTAATTTAGAGTATTTTACATATGATGAGATTCCTTTGTTCTGATACTGATATGATTAATTTCTAAATCAGCCAGTTAACAGTTCCATTTTAATACAAGATTTAAATAAAAAATGCTATTTCTGTTTTACTTTAGTTTTTTCACCCTCAGTTCAAATCTCTTTAATGAGATTGATATTTCTAGTTGTTCTTTTTTTTTGCTTGTATCACATTGAATACTGGTAATTGTATATTACTTATAAATACCCGTTAAGGATAATCACAAAGATATAACCAATATATAAGAAGATAAACATGTCAGTTGATAACTTTGTGAAGGCACATACTAATAAGCAATTATATTTATATTTAATAATTAGTAACAGATTCCGTTGAGCACAGTTTATTGAAAAATGTGATCAATGATATACAGAAGGGAACAATTTGGATGCATAATTCAGAAATAGGATATTCTTAAATAAATAATAGTATCATGAATATTATTATAAATATTAGTTAACAATTTTTATTTATAAAATTATTTTTACATTGTTTTTCTATTTGTCGTATACGGGGTATATAAATTATAAATGTACTATTTGCAATATTGAACGGTAATAAAGATCCTCCTGGGCTACACTTTTTTTTTGTACGCAGTGCTTCATTTAGTATACTTTTACTATGCAATTGGTGTCCTTTTAAATGTAATACTGACCCTGCATCTGAATAAAAATATCATTTTTACAATGGTATGTTGTAAATATGGAACTTAATTTTTTTAAAATACATCAATTTGTGAATAAAACTTAAGTTTATACAAAAGAAAAGCATTAAGCAATTCTTGAAAGTTATTTAATGAAAAAAATTAATAATATGCTAAATATTTTTGTACGATACAAACAATGCCTGTATTCTCCGTTTTTAGGACCCAAATTCATTTATAATTTATAATTAAAATTGCTTCATTTGCAATTATTTTTCCCTGACAAATTAGAGAAAAATAATTCATGCAAATCTTTAAATACAGTTACTGAAATTGTCCATATCTCTCATAGGCTTTTGCTGTATGAGCTGAAAAGGAAGACAGGTACTGGTAAGATAATTAACAAATGAAAATAACCCATTAAATTTTTAAATACTGGGCACTCAGAAATGTTATCATTGGAACCCCAGCCAAAGGGAAACAACTCCACCCTTACCTTAGAAAGATTTTGAAAAAAAAATTAAAACACATCTATTTAATAGTATAATGATATCAAATAAATTTATTTGCATATTTATTTTTGTATGCTTGCTTTATTTGTAGTGTAACATTATTTCTTAATGCTTTTCTTGTGTAAATTCCTAAAATTCAATTTTCGACAAAGTACTTGAATACTCACTACCGTACTAATGATCATATTGAATCATAACACTAAAATTATATGTTTTTAAAATAATGAATACTCCTTACCCAATGAATAAAAATATTTTTAAAAACACAGTAATCTCCCTTGGTCTTGTTTTTAGCAAGATTTTCATTTAAATGGCGAGATTTCCACTTTCTATTTAGCAACATTTAAACAGAGGGTTGAGTGGCCGGATTTGGCCGTTAAGTGTTGAATAGGTTAAGCGGGTTATTCTGACTACAACCAGTTTAGAAAAAGGAGAATGCATGGACTTGATCCACAACTGTGTTCTAACACCTCTAAATCTAAATCACCTTGATGTTTGAATGGTTTGCATATTACATGCTAGCAGCTTCATGAAGAGGCAGGATTCTTGTCTTGTTGCTTCACCGAGTCAAGAGCAAGAGCTTGATGCAATACACAAACATTCTTGGACAGGCTGCGCTTTGGTGGCAGAAAACTTGCCACATGCCCAGGTCTTAACTATGCAGCCTTGGTGGCTTAAATCACAGCAACACAGCTGACATCTCTTGCCAGTTATCAGAAGCTACAGAGTTTGCCAGTCTCCTTCCATGATGTGGTGGCTTAAATCACAGCAACTCAGCTGACATCTCTTGCTAGTCATCAGAAGCTACAGACTTTGCCAGTCATCAGAAGCTACAGACTTTGCCAGTCATCAGAAGCTATAGACTATGCCAGTCATCAGAAGCTACAGGCTTTGCCAGTCTTCTGCCATGATGTGGTTAAGTATCAATCTAGATCTACCAACTTCTTTTGGAGGAAGTAATTAGTTGTCATCCTAAAAGAACTTACAATCATCAAGTCAAAGTGATCTTGATGGACTGCCAGACAATGAGTTTTAGCTGGTAATGTCTCAGAGAAAAGTTTGAATGGCAATGAATTAAAGTTCTAAATGGTTCAATTTAATAATAAAAGGAGGAACTTTTTTCGTACATAATTATGTTAAGTATGCTTTAATTAAATATTTTGTACCGGTATTATAGTAATTATATGAAACACGTTATTAAAGCATTAAGCCAAAATAGACATAAAGCATTTCACTTTATAAAGCCATGTTTACCTGAAAGATGTTTCTTTGTTAATTTTTCAAATTGTGCTATAAAGATGAAAAAAAAAGTAATAAATATTGGCTTGAGCTACCATTTTTACAGTACTGTACAATGAAGAAGCTATAATTTAAAGGGACCACGAATATGATTTAAAAAATTGCAAATAAATTATAGCTGATGTTTTAGAATACTGCACTACTTGCAATAATAATATGGGAAGATAATCCAGTTTTTAACAGAAACTTATTGAGCTGCCACCCCTGGTATTTCAAGTGAGTTATTTTTCATTACAAATTGCTTAAATTTAAAGCAACAAAACTAAAATTACTAATCCAGATGAGGATTCACGCAAAAGCGTTGGAACTCTTTTAATTATAGTGAGAAAAAATACATAGAAGTAAAGAGTATCCTAAATTCTATATATTCTCAGGGAAAAGCTGATCTAGAGGCTATCAGTATTAGTATTAAAAACTATTAAAATAATTATGGTACATTTTTAAAAAAAAAAATTACATTATGTACAATGACGTGACATCTACTTGAGAAATGCTAAACCTGAAATAGGAATTTTGGAATTTACAACTTATACATGAGTGAGCATTGTCAACAAAATATCTGAGCTATATAAACAACAAAACAGAATATCAAAATAAATTTGAGAACTGTCTTCTGATCACTGAAATGAAAACAATTCATTTTGCATATATTAGGCCCTAAATCTAATAAATCATATTAAACATGACTTAAAAATATCACAACCGTATAACATTTGGTTCAAAGGATTAAAGAAAAGTCCTTATAAAGTGTTGCATTATTTCATCATTAATTTACATCCAAGTAAGCCTTGTGTTATTTTTTAAAGTGTAATATTATAAGCAATCAGTGAGATAGTGGGCAACTATGATATCAAATTCACTAAAAGGCTTTTCCCTTCTCTTTTATAATCTTCTGGTGAAAAAATACCCTTCAGAACCCATAAAAATAGAAGATATTGCATGTTTGATTTTACATTCAGCTTTCAACACAAACTGGTGAGTATTAAATTGAGAAAAAATAAAATTGCTGTGCATAACACATAATCTCAGTGTAGACCTGAAGTCTAAAGCAGTGTTTTTTTGTTGTTGTTTTTTTTTTTTTTTTTTTTTTTTTTTTTGGGGGGGGGGGGGTACTGGTACCATTAAAAATCTTCATCTGCCCGAAGAGCCAAGTCTGTGATTTGCTTTAAAAGACTTGTAGCACTTTGCTCATTTTCATTTAGAGTTGGATCAAATTCAGAATCCTCCTGTGGGTCGAAGACATTGGGAGACTGAAAGATTGAACTATCTTCTCCCCAATCACTGTCCTCATTTAGGCTCGACATGGAGCCCATGTAACTAGCAGAACCTAAGGAAAACTCTGAGCCAGTTTCTGAGAAACGATCAGACATTGTGAGTTTCAAATCTTGAATGGCTTCATGGAGGGAGACAAGTTGACAAAACAAGGACACATCAAGAAATCGCAGGTCTTTCTGAAAAAAATATTACGACAAATGGAAATGAAACTGAAAATGGTTATTTTGTTAAAATTATTTTAAATACCATAAAGACATTAGTTGTCTGGGTGTAGGAAGAATACTTTTCAATTGTAAGGATAATGAGGCCTCAAAGTAAATTCAGCAATAGAATTATATAAAGAAACTAAAAATTTTTTTAAATTATATTGAAGGGATTTTGGTGAGATCAACATTAGTCCTGCTTCAAAATTATTTCAAATCCTTCAGTTTAAGCGTTAATTAAAATGAATTTTTAATAAGTTATAATAGGAATATACTGGTACTTGTGCATGAAATAGCATGAGCCACACTTACTTTGGGGTTAATGCCCCCATTAGCCTAAGTATGAACTCAAAGAAACTATAACCCCACCCCTTTTCTAGTAAGTTTGTTTAGTTTGGGGCCTGAAATATAACTTTTATTTTAAGCCCTTTGCCTTTCCTTTGCAGAATTTTTCTTTCAATTTAATTATTAAACTGATCTAAAAATGTTTTTATTTTAAAAATAAATAACATTACATTCCTGACATCATTACTCATTACTAATATTGTCATTAACTTTAACTAATTTAACCATCAACATACCATTTCTTTTTGTAACTTCATTAGTGAGCAATTTAACTTTAAATAAGGGTTTTTGTATTCATCGTTGTCCAGGGATGATTGTTGATCACCAGATTTTTTTGGATCGAATCTACTACTGCTAACAGTGGTAGTCTTGTCTTTTAATTCTCCTGAACTGCCTGAATATGATTCTTTTAAACTTGAAATTGAGGACATGCCCTTTGGCTTTGTTAAATAATAGTGCTGAAGATGGTTGTCTCTTTTATTGGACTTTGATGATCCCTCCAAAGACTTTGAATCATTAAGGGTATTATTGGTATCCCTTGTTGATAATGGCAAACTTATAGAGTCATTATTATTACTAGGTAAAGCTATAGTTTCCAAATTTAAGCGAATGTTGTTTACGTTATTGTAGTTATGAGTTTGTTCCCCATCACTGGCATCAGAAACATTCACAACCACCAAATGGCTAAAGCATTTTGGTATTGGGGGAAAGTCGTTTGATTGATACATAATTTACTATGACGAACAAATGATATGGTTTTAAATCAATGGCACGTTTTATTGGCAACAATTCGAACATTGATGATTAGGATTCAGAACATTTCAATGACAACCTTTGCTAGGCTTTTTCAGTGAACACGGAAGCGTGCCATGTATTGTTTACGTTCACTTCGACTGTGCCAGATTTCTACTGTATCCTGTTAAAAAGCGTATCCGGAAATTTGATCGAAAGAAATTTCGTCGACGGTAAATTAATCGACGGTAATTTGATCGAACGGAAATTTGGTCGAAACTTTTTTCAGTTTTTACGTGAAAGCTTTTGCTTAAAATTTCTTTTCGAACGCATTATTTCGTTTAGCAATATAGTATAATGCGTTGAAAAAGAAATTCGACGAAAATTGTAACGCCTGAACTGAGAAAAAGGTTCGACCAAATTTCCGTTCGATCAAATTTCCGTCGATCAATTTACCGTCGACGAAATTTCTTCGTGACTTAAAATATTTATAATCACCAGTAATAACATCGAACGTGTTTATATTATAAGTGCCATTTACATGGCAATGTACAAAATGAACTTAAACTTAAATGTTGTTAAGTATTGTTTATTAAGATTATTCATGATCTATATCACATTAAGTTTAAGTAAAGCCTTAAATTTACAGTATTTTCATATTCGAAGTGCGGATTCATTTATCAGATTCATTGAAGCTGAATAGACTTCGATTACGTAATTCAACAACGTCTAGTAAAAAGATAGTTGTTGGTATAAATCTTTTATAAATATTCAGCAATAGGTTGACGGGAAGTGGGCTAATTAGCCGTCCGAAAGATTTTGCCAGCAAGCTATGAACAAAAGCGAAGTAAATATAAAGCAATAATATGTTATTAAAATATGTATTTTAATTAATTATATGATGAAAGTGAATATGTAGCCTACATGGAGTAATATGTACATTGTAATTAATATGTACATTGTAATTTTTTGTTAAAAATCGTTTCCATTTATTTGGATCAATAAAATAATCTTATTTTATCTTATAATATCTTTTTATCAGGTGTTTCAAATACAAGTTCGCATCAGATGGGCAGATGGGGAAAAGTCGGAAATTCCCCATGTTTATGTGCGTTAGGAACACAACGATTCGCGTATTCGGTTACCCGAGGCATCGCATAAACGATGTTAGGAAATATCAAAACAAAATGAAGATGTTCTTTTAAGAAGAACTATTTTGATACTTTGATTCCACCAGAGCTACGATATTTGCATTGCTGTAAGTTGGCGTTAAGTAATATTGTCACTGATATCATTAGGTGTGTCCAACAATGGGGTAGGTCCCCAGAAACATTCTGAGTTTTGAGGCTCTGACTTTTGAGGCTCTGGCTCGAATTTAGAGCAGCCAAAATAATACATGTTAATATACAATCAATGAGGCTCTATATCCCATTTTTGACTTTATATCCCATTGTTACGTGCGGTGGGGGGGGGTACCATAAGACTTTATATCCCATTGTTACGTGGAGTGGCCGGGGAGGGGGGGGAGGGTACCACACAACTTTATAGCCCATTGTTTCGCAGTGTTGGGAGAAGATGAAAAGCAAAATAGAAAATCCTTCTCAGCAAAGAAGAATAACATCCATTGGGGGCAAGAACATTAAGGAGACATCAAACCAGCCGGCAGTGCTTGCAACCGATGACTTCAACAGCACGACCCAAATGGAAAAATGTGGGACTTGGATTTCATTCATACTAATGATACTGTCATGGCGGATAAACTAAACACAGCATCACGTGATCTGCAAACTAATAGGGCACCGGGTTGGGATCAGACAGCCCCTGGTTGGGATTAGACAGCACCTGGTTAGGATCAGACAGCAACTGGCTGGGATCAGACAGCACCTGGTTAGTATCAGACGACAATCGATGGTACCGATCTGGTTGGGATTGGACATCCTTGGATTACGATCAGATGTCACTGACCATATCAAGATCAGACAGTACCGGGTAACGATCAAATTGCCCCAGAAGTGTGCTTGAGGAAACGGCAACGGTGAGGGGACTACTAGCAGTGAGCAGTTCAAATGTCATCCAACAAACGGCAACGGTGAGGGGACTACTAGCAGTGAGCAGTTCAAATGTCATCCAACAAACGGCAACGGTGAGGGGACTACTAGCAGTGAGCAGTTCAAATGTCATCCAACAAACGGCACGGAGTGAGGTTGTTTTTTTTTTTAGCTTTATAATTTTTTTATTTGGGGGTGGGGGGGTGATGTTCAACTTTTAAAAAAAAGTTGGAAAGGTTTAATACATTTCGACATGATATAAAAACTACAATAATAAAAATTTGCATCGACCGGGAATCGAACCCGGGTCACCCGCGTGGCAGGCGAGTATTCTACCACTAGACCACCGATGCTTACATGCTCGTAGCTATTAAACTGCACATGTCGGCCATCGATGATAGATTAATTTCATTAGGGCCACTGAAAAGTTTGAGAGGCACTGACTGATGCGTTGTAACCCTGACTTAATGCCACCCGTGGGGCGGACTCCCGAAATCGCACCCCCCACACACTTAAATTATGAATCGCGATGAGTACCAAACTAATTTTAGAAATGTAAAAAGGTGTTTGTTGCCCGGGGCGGTTGCCATCATGGTCATGTCCACTCCCCCCCCCCCCCCCCCTTTTTTTTTTGTCTTCGTCACTTGTAATAAGGAAGAGAGACTGCCATCACGTTAGGACGCGACAAAACAACGGAAGTGTCGGTGTAGGTCCTAAACGCAGACAATTCTCTCATCCGTCCTTCAACCGGTTAAACAGACCACTAATGCCGATGCCTTGAGGTCCCGTCCCGGTGATCAATGGTGATCCGCATCAAACTTGTTCGCATGTCATCCACACATGCTCTTAGCCAAAACTGTTTCCTTAAAGTCTTTGTTGTACCGGTACTGTCAATTGATTCAAGTTTCAACTTCAACATACATTGTTCTTCTATTTCATTTACACAGCTTGAATCCAGTGCTTCAATTATTTATTTGTTTGAAACCCGTGCCATTCTCCTCGCCGGTCCTAACACCCACAACATTTTCTTAGCCCCGCTTCTCATTGTGTTCAGACGAGACACGAATCTACGAGATCTCCTTGTGCGTAGACCTCCCCCCCCCCTTTTTTCCGCGCCGCCCCTCCCTCTTTGGAATCAAGCCATAATGTGAACAACTGATTCAGGCATGACTTTCTTTTTCTCCTTCACTTGTTTAAACTTTTCTCCGCCGCTCCTTGTTGTGACAACCAATCGCAGTGGACTTACTTTACCCCGCCCGCCCCCAACTGCCTTTCTTTACTCTCTGACACCTACTAAATGTTTGATCACATTCCTCTTTCTGTCCTCTCGGATGATTCGTTGCAGCTAAGTATTTATCTTTATCGTGTTTTTACTGTTGTTTGTTCGCCGAAGAAAGGTTTCTCGCCCACCGTTAGTTGTTTTGTTCCATCCTTGTTGTCCCATACCGGTACCCCACTCTGTTTTGTTGCATCCTTGTTGTCCCATACCGGTACCCCACTCTGTTTTGTTGCATCCTTGTTGTCCCATACCGGTACCCCACTCTGTTTTGTCGCATCCTTGTTGTCCCATACTAGTACTCTGTTTTGTTGCACCCTTGTTGTCCCATACCGGTACCCCACTCTGTTTTGTCGCATCCTTGTTGTCCCATACCGGTACCCCACTCTGTTTTGTTGCATCCTTGTTGTCCCATACCGGTACCCCACTCTGTTTTGTTGCATCCTTGTTGTCCCATACCGGTACCCCACTCTGTTTTGTTGCATCCTTGTTGTCCCATACCGGTACCCCACTCTGTTTTGTTCCATCCTTGTTGTCCCATACCAGTACTCTGTTTCACTTATTTCCTTTTCTGTTAGTCCCTGGCAGGACTTTGTTAATCGACCATTTGGTACAGTAAATGGATGTCGTGTGTTGCCCATAAACGTCTCATTGTCTAATTGCCTTATGGCTTGTTTTCCACTTTGATCTGCAGCCCGTCTTGGAGGCTAGGATCCGACCATGGTGAATCAGTTTCTAAGCCCGGTGACCAGCGATGCTGAACAGTCCAAACTGAAGCCAGATGGACCGTTTATATTCCACGATCTCCTGAGGAGCAACGATGAGATCAAGGCGAACAAAGGGAGGAATGTGCCAATGTGGTGTAGGTGATTGTGTGAGGGTGCGTGGGACGAACAAAAGGAGGAACGTACCAATGTGGCGTAGGTCTTTGTGTGAGGGTGTGTGGGACGAACAAAGGTAGGACGTGCCAATGTGGTGTAGGTTTTTGTGTGAGGGTGTGTGGGTATGGTTGGATCCGAAGGACGATACCATAAACTCTCTTTATGTTGGGTGCGTGAGGTGTTCTGTGTGCGTGAGGTGTTCTGTGTGCGTGAGGTGTTCTGTGTGCGTGAGGTGTTCTGTGTGCGTGAGGTGTTCTGTGTGCGTGAGGTGTTCTGTGTGCGTGAGGTGTTCTGTGTGCGTGAGGTGTTCTGGGTGCCTGGGGTGTTGTGTGTGTGTGTGAGGTGTTCTGTGTGTGTGAGGTGCTCTGTGTGTGTGTGATGTGCTCTGTGTGTGTGAGGTTTCAACGGAAACTCAAATAAATTAATTGTGATTATGGGATCACTGCATTCGAGAATTTCCGAAAACTTATCGGGTGTTTGAGCCCCCACGACAATCAGGTATTTGCGTCTTACTACAATCGGTTGTTAGAGATCCGCCCCCCCCCCAAACAAGCGGGTGTTTGACCCCCCCCAACAAGCGGGTGTTTGACCCCCCCCCCACCACAATGCCGCATTTAGTCATGATGCTTTCTTCGAGGATTAGGTTTGCCAGAGGGTCTAGCAAAGTCTTTTTATGTATCTTTCTTGAAATCTTTTTCCAAGAGGCGACATTGAAATTTCTTTTGAGAATCCCTAACGAACCCCCGTTAAAATGAACACATGTAAAAAAAAAAATGAATGACTCAACTTTCTTTTCTCTTCTTTTCCTTGTCTGTGCGGTATCTATAAATAGGCATCGCAATGCAGTTCAATGGCATACCCCAGACAGGACTCCATCTTTTTTGGTTGTCTGACGGAGTAACTCTCGTGGTTTCCTTCACTTGGGTGAGCCACTACTCGGGGTGTGCGGCTTTGTGTGAGTGTCATTTTCTTGGGGATGTCAGTCTGGTATTGCTGGGGATGTCTGTTTGGTATTGATAGGGATGTCTGTTAGTTTGGTATTGATAGGGATGTCTGTTAGTTTGATGTTGTTAGTCGCTCAACATTTGCCACATAACAACTAATACCAGTCCTCACGTCTTGTTAGTCGCTCAACATTTGCCACATTTTATTTGATTTCCAGACAAGGACAGACGCCCCACAAAGCAGGATCTCAGTCCTTTGAGCCCAGATTCCACTAAGACGTCACCGGACAGCCCACGGGCCACCCCGGACAAGGCAATCTATTCGGTACGGAAAGTTCTGACGAGTCACGATAATGAAAGACTCTAAACTGATGCCCCCCCCCCCCCCCCCCAGCTCCCAATCTAAAAGGACTGCCAACTGTCGATAGAAGAAAAGTGGACAAGGACAAGGCAATCTATTCGGTACGGAAAGTTCTGACGAGTCACGATAAGGAAAGACTCTAAACTGATGCCCCCGCCCCCCCCCCCAGCTCCCAATCTAAAAGGACTGCCAACTGTCGATAGAAGAAAAGTGGACATAAAATATGTGTCCAAAAAGTCCGAAGAAATTTGAGGATGTCTGTACAAAATAGAAAAAAAAAAGGCGGGGGGGGAGGAGAGAGGGAAAAAAAGCTTATCTGGGCGTTTCTAAATTCTACCTGCTGGATTGAAACTTATGTCAACAGAATCAGGGGAAACTGTTGAGAAAAGTGTTGAGTTTCCCCTGATTCTGTTGACAAACACTTTTCAAACTAACTTATGATAGAGATGTTTCCCTCATGGTCATACCAGAGAATAGCTGAGACATAATCAAACTCATAGCGAAATAGAATCACTGGAATATAATCAAATTCATAGAAAAATAGAATCACTTGAATATAGTCAAATTCATAGAGAAATATAATCACTGAAATATAATCAAATTCATAGAGAAATAGAATCATTTGAATATAATCAAATTCATAGAGAAATAGAATCATTTGAATATAATCAAATTCATAGCGAAATATCATCACTGGAACATAATCAAATTCCTAGAAAATTAGAATCACTTATTTATAATGAAAATCATAGAGAAATATAAACATTGAGATATAAAAAAAATCATAGAGAAATAGGATCACTGAGACTTAATCAAATTCATAGAGAAAAAAAAATCATAGCCATATGAAGATTTGAATTTTTTATTTTTTTAAAAGTTAAGTGGTATCAAAATGACTATTCTAAAAATATATCTGTATCAAAATGACTATTCTAAAAATATATCTGTATCAAAATGACTATTCTAAAAATATATCTGTATCAAAATGACTATTTTAAAAATATATCTGTATCAAAATGACTATTCTAAAAATATATATGTATCAAAATGACTATTCTAAAAATATATCTGTATCAAAATGACTATTCTAAAAATATATATGTATCAAAATGACTATTCTAAAAATATATCTGTTTTAAAATGACTATTCTAAAAATATATCTGTATCAAAATGACTATTTTAAAAATATATCTGTATCAAAATGACTATTCTAAAAATATATCTGTATCAAAATGACTATTCTAAAAATATATCTGTATCAAAATGACTATTCTAAAAATATATCTGTATCAAAATGACTATTCTAAAAATATATCTGTATCAAAATGACTATTTTAAAAATATATCTGTATCAAAATGACTATTCTAAAATATATCTGTATCAAAATGACTATTCTAAAAATATATCTGTATAACATTTAGATAGTCCGTAAAAATTGTGGAATTTGCTGCATTAGTCCGTAACATTTTATTTTATTGAGTTGAAAATCTTATTCTAGACCCCCATAGGATACAACACCTTAGACACAGACACAAATCTTATTCTAGACCCCCATAGGATACACCACCTTAGACACAGACACAAATCTTATTCTAGACCCCCATAGGATACACCACCTTAGACACAGACACAAATCTTATTCTAGACCCCCATAGGATACAACACGTTAGACACAGACACAAATCTTATTCTAGACCCCCATAGGATACAACACCTTAGACACAGACACAAATCTTATTCTAGACCCCCATAGGATACACCACCTTAGACACAGACACAAATCTTATTCTAGACCCCCATAGGATACAACACCTTAGACACAGACACAAATCTTATTCTAGACCCCCATAGGATACACCACCTTAGACACAGACACAAATCTTATTCTAGACCCCCATAGGATACACCACCTTAGACACAGACACAAATCTTATTCTAGACCCCCATAGGATACAACACGTTAGACACAGACACAGACACAAATCTTACGCTCATTTTAGGATTTAAAAAACACCCCCAAAAACACCCCCCAAAAATCTTGAGTCAATCTTCGGAGTTCTCTTCTCTTACTTAAGCTTCTGTAAATGGGAGACCACACCATCACACACTATCCACACTTTTAGTGTACGCTAGTCGTGGTCAATGACCTATAATTCTCTTGGTTAGCTACCACCCATCCTGCAGAAATAAAAGGCTTTATTTCCAACTGCATGACAGGAACACTGGCAGTTTGCAGATAACTTACAGAGCAGGTTGTCCACGGTCTGGGGGGATGAGCTGGACTCCCCGTCACCGTCCAAGCTCAACAACTTCGACATGAATGACCTGCCCCACATGTCGCACATGAGGAGCTTTCTACTCATCGTCTGCTCGGTCTCGTTCTTTGTGGCTCCTCTGGTGTACATGCCCCTCGGGACAGTCCAGGTAATGGAAGGCTCGTTCTTTGTGGCTCCTCTGGTGTACATGCCCCTCGGGATGGTCCAGGTAATGAAAGGTCCGTTCTTTGTGACTCCTCTGGTGTACATGCCCCTCGGAATGGTCCAGGTAATGAAAGGCAAATCCTTTTGGTACAGACAGGGTACTCCAAGAAATCCCCTTTGAGACAATTCAGGTTATAACAATGCCTTTTAGTAAAATATAGGAATTCAAGGCAATGTCTTTAGAGACCATTCAGTTGAGTCCAGCCCAATTTATTTTGGACTGTCAAGTTCATTCCATACCAGGCTTCTTTGGACAGTCGAGGTTTAAATTATTCAAGCAAATTCCACCCCACCCCCAATAGGTCATTATAGCCACTGCCCCGAGAAATCCAGCTAACTTATAACCCCTGGGAATGGCAGACAATTTCATTCAACACTTTTGATCGGCCAAAGTAGTTACCCCAGAGGGAAACTCTCAGCTGGTGGGCAGAAAAAAAACGATTTAAGTATACGTTCTGTCTAAAAGCTTCACTCGAATCCATGGACCTTGACCTTGATTCGCGGAAATTTTCTATGGATCTATGTAGACTCACTGTTCGAGAACAAGCTGGCCAGACAGACTCACTGTTGGAGCACACAAGCTGGCCAGATGTTGGAGCACACAAGCTGGCCAGACAGACTCACTGTTGGAGCACACAAGTTGGCCAGATGTTGGAGCACACAAGCTGGCCAGACAGACTCACTGTTGGAGCACACAACCTGGCCAGACAGACTCACTGTTGGAGCACACACGCTGGCCAGACAGACTCATTGTTGGAGCACACAAGCTGGTCAGACAGACTCACTGTTGGAGCACACAATCTGGTCAGAGAGACTCGGTGTTGGAGCACACAATCTGGTCAGAGAGACTCGGTGTTGGAGCACACACGCTGGCCAGACAGACTCACTGTTGGAGCACACAAGCTGGTCAGACAGACTCACTGTTGGAGCACACAATCTGGTCAGACAGACTCACTGTTGGAGCACACAATCTGGTCAGACAGACTCACTGTTGGAGCACACAAGCTGGTCAGACAGACTCACTGTTGGAGCACACAATCTGGTCAGAGAGACTCGGTGTTGGAGCACACACGCTGGCCAGACAGACTTACTGCCATGTGTGTTTCTGGCCACACAAAGACAAAAAGACACACGAAAGAAAACCTTCTTAAACCTGTGTCACATTAGTTCTGATTGGACGTCATATTATTTAGGTTTATAAATACTGTAAATACAAGAGACAAGCTAGAAAACTGACAATTTCTGCCCGGTGCCAACTGGCATGATAACAGAATCATTAACCCCCCCCCCCCCAACACTTTTTTTCTCTTCAAAGCTTTCTATTTCTACCAACCCATCCTTCTCGTCTTGCCTTCTTCCAGGCTTTCTATTTNAGACAAGCTAGAAAACTGACAATTTCTGCCCGGTGCCAACTGGCATGATAACAGAATCATTAACCCCCCCCCCCCAACACTTTTTTTCTCTTCAAAGCTTTCTATTTCTACCAACCCATCCTTCTCGTCTTGCCTTCTTCCAGGCTTTCTATTTCGACCAACCCATCCTCCTCAACTTGCCTTCTTCCAGGCTTTCTATTTCGACCAACCCATCCTTCTCGTCTTGTCTTCTTCCAGGCTTTCTATTTCGACCAACCCATCCTTCTCGTCTTGCCTTCTTCCAGGCTTTCTATTTTGACCAACCCATCCTTCTCAACCCATCCTTCTCGTCTTGCCTTCTTCCAGGCTTTCTATTTCGACCAACCCATCCTTCTCAACCCATCCTTCTCGTCTTGTCTTCTTCCAGGCTTTCTATTTCGACCAACCCATCCTTCTCATCTTGTCTTCTTCCAGGCTTTCTATTTCTACCAACCCATCCTTCTCGTCTTGCCTTCTTCTAGGCTTTCTATTTCGACCAACCCATCCTTCTCGTCTTGTCTTCTTCCAGGCTTTCTATTTCGACCAACCCATCCTTCTCAACCCATCCTTCTCGTCTTGTCTTCTTCCAGGCCGCGTACAACCAGAAGTGCTTCCTGTACACCAAGATCAAACTCATCTTCACCATCCGGGCACTCAATGAGTCCGAACACGAGTACAAACTCCTCACGTGGGTCAAAGGGCATTTACGACTATTCATTAGTAGTAGTATTAAATTACTTTGATTAAATTAGCTTACTCTAATTAAAATTTTCACCTGTAATTATACTTTGTATACCAAAGAGATGATTTTTTTTTTAAAAATACTCCACCTCCTACACCTGATCCGCCTCTGGAAATCAAACTGCAATTTGGAATGTACATCAGTTATACGCCTTTATAACCCCATCATGTTGATCATTTCTCGAATATTTATTTTCATTTCCATTAAATAATTCCTTCACTTTTAGTTATTTTCAGTTGCTAGAAAGGATCAATTCAAAGTAATAACGGAAATTACAGTTTACCCACGGTGTAAATTAATATACTTTTAAACCACTGTGTAAATTTGTATACTTTTAACCATAGTCAAAATTAATATACTTCTTCAACAGTGTAAATAACATAATTTTTTCCCAAATTGTAAATAATATACTTTATCCCACAGTGAAAATTAATATACTTTTGCCCACATGTAAATTAATATACATTTACCCACTTTATAAATTAATATACTTTTAAACATGTGTAAATTTATATACTTTTTCCCACAGTGTAAATTAATATACTTGTACCCGCTGTGTATAATAATATACTTTTTCCCAGTGTAAATTAATATGATTTTGCCCATGGTGTAAATTAATATACTTTTAAACACGGTGTAAAATAATATTATTTTTCCCACGGTGTAAATTAATGCACATTTACCCACTGTGTCAATTAATATACTTTTAAACACGTGTATAGTAATATACTTTCGCCCATGTTGTAAATTAATACTTTCAACCACTTCATAAATTAATATATTTTTACCCATGGTGTAAATTGAAATTTTTTTAGCTTGTTTAAATTAATATACTTTTACCCATGGTGTATATTAATATACTTTGCCCACTGTGTAAATTAATATACTTTTTACAATTGTGTAAATTAATATACTTTTTCCCACTGTGTAAATTTATATATTTTTTGCACTGTGTAAATTAATATAGTTTTGCCCACAGTGTATATTAATATAGTTTTGCCCACAGTGTATATTAATATAGTTTTAACTGATGTGTAAACTGATATACTTTTGCCCATGATGTAAATTAATATAATCTACTTTTACACATCTCTGGCTTAATTAAGAACAATTAAAACCATCGCACCAAGTTTATCGAACATAACATCTAGTTATGTACAATGACATAACCTCTCGTTGTGTACATTGACATAACCCCTCCTTATGTACATTAACATAACCTCTAGTTGTGTAAATTGACCATGACCTCATTTTGTGTCAACAGCTTCGACGCAGTGAGCACAGAGTGGGGCTCGCAGACACTGTGTGACTTTACCACATTCGTCCCAGTCTCTGTGGCCATCTTCTCCGTCATCATTGGTTGGTCAACCTTCACCATCTGGCCTGCCATGATGTCAATGGGGTAGGTGGCCGTGTCTGCTGACACTGGAAACAGAGTTCAGCTTAGTTTGTTTTGTCTTAACATCACCGTCTTAAAACCCCTGTCTTAACATCACCGACACAGCTTCACTGTCTTAACATCACTGTCATAACACAACTGTCTAAAAATCACCGACACAGCATCACTGTCATAACATCATTGTATTAACACCCCTGTCTTAACATCATTGTCTTAACATCCCTGTCTGAACACCACTGTCTTAACATCACCGTCTTAACATCACCGTCTTAACATCACTGTCTTAGCACCATTGTCTTAACACCCCTGTCTTAACATCATTATCTTAACACCTCTGTCTTAACATCATTGTCTTAACACCCCTGTCTTAACCCCATTGCCTTAACACCCCTGTCTTCACATCATTGTCTTAACACCCCAGTCTTAACATCATTGTCTTAACATCACTGTCTTAACATCATTGTCGTAACAACTCTGTCTTAACATCATTGTCTTAACACCTCTGTCTTAACATCACTGTCTTAACACCATTGTCTTAACACCCCTGTCTTAACATCATTGTCTTAACACCCCTGTCTTAACACCATTGTCTTAACACCCCTGTCTTAACATCATTGTCTTAACACCATTGTCTTAACACCCCTGTCTTAACATCATTGTCTTACAACCTCTGTCTTAACACCTCTGTCTTAATTCATTGTCTTAACACCCCTGTCTTAACACCCCTGTCAAAACAAATGTATCCACTCCAAACGTCTACACGCCACCTTCGTAGTTTCCTATTAAATTATCCACAAAGTGGCGTAGCTAGGGTTGGAGCCCCCCGGGGGCGGGCCAAGATTTTTACAGCCCCTTTCCACCAAAAGAAAACAGCAACAACAACGCTGCAGTTGGAGAACAACACCACCCCTCCATAGAAAGCAAAGAGTGTCACCCTGGGCGGATCACACCCCTGCCCCCCCCCCCCAACCTTCATAAGCAATGGTATCTTTATAAAGTTGTGCACATCCATTTGAAGTAGCTCACTTAGGACATATCCGTGTAGTACGTCATAACAGTGTACTACGTCATATCCGTGTAATACGTCATATCCGTGCTAAACTGCAAGCAGCAACTTCCTCACTTGAACTAAAAACCTTGATCTAACCACTAAAGTGGCTTATATACCCATGCTGTTGCTCTACCACTCACCAATACACACAGTACAGGGCAGTGCCAAGGGGGAAGCCGTCCGGTGCGCCAAACAGTCAATTATCTCTAGATATTTATGTGTGCGAATATACACATAGGCCTTTAATAAATCATTTATTGATGAAAAGGGGGCGACACTTTCAGGATTCGCCCTCGGGCGCAGAGTTTCCCTCGCAAGGCAAAGTCAATAAACGTAAACTAGTGACCTTAACCCACATCATTAGATACAGAAGACACTTACGTAGCACACTGAAGACTTATTCACGTGCTTAGCGCTATACTATAATCATTTGGGTAGCACTACAATCAAAAATACAAACTGTACAGCTATCCATTTATTTAATTTAACATCCATTTTTGATTAGCGCTTTATTAAATAACAATACCCGTACAAATTATTCTATAATAAATGACCCATTTAATATGAGTCTATTTTAGCTGTGAGTTACATGCAGATGCGTAGTTAAACAAAAAAAAAAGGGGGGGGGGGAGGGGGGCTGTTATTTTATTGATGAAAAGGATGGGTTTCAGAGGGTTTTTTTTAAAAGTGGTAAATTAATCTTGTCCTCCCCCCCCCGGGCGCAAAACACTACCATACGCCTCTGGCCCCAAGACCAACATTTTGCCCCGCTGGCCGCAGATCATTTGTTACCAAAACAAAAAAAAAAGGGGGGGGGGAGGGGGGCTGTTATTTTATTGATGAAAAGGATGGGTTTCAGAGGGTTTTTTTTAAAAGTGGTAAATTAATCTTGTCCTCCCCCCCCCGGGCGCAAAACACTAGCATACGCCTCTGGCTCCAAGACCAACATTTTGCGCCGCTGGACGCAGATCATTTGTTACCTGTAGTAGTAATAGTTGACCATTAACACATTTTGCTATTGTTCCAGGAAGGGTGGCATCTTAATGCTGCTGTACTTGTCCATCTCCATCGTGAGTCTTGTGGTGACCACCATCTCTAATCTACTGTTGCGTGATGGCTACTCAGCCACCTGTCTCTCCCTGGGGGACCAGCAAACAGCCCTAGGGTAAGTACTCAATGCGAACACCCCTGGGGTAAGTACTCAATGCAAACACCCCGGGGTAAGTGCTCAATGCAAACAGCTCTGGGGTAAGTACTCAATGCAAACAGCCCTGGGGTAAGTACTCAATGCAAACAGCCCTGGGGTAAGTGCTCAATGCAAACAGCCCTGGGGTAAGTGCTCAAAGCAAACAGCCCTGGGGTAAGTACTCAAAGCAAACAGCCCTGGGGTAAGTACTCAAAGCAAACAGCTCTGGGGTAAGTACTCAATGCAAACAGCCCTGGGGTAAGTACTCAATGCAAACAGCCCAAGGCTAAGTACTCAATGCAAACAGCTCTGGGGTAAGTACTCAATGCAAACAGCCCAAGGGTAAGTATTTAATGCAAACAGCCCAAGGGTAAGTACTCAATGCAAACCCCCCAAGGGTAAGTACTCAATGCAAACAGCCCAAGGGTAAGTACTCAATGCAAACAGCCCAAGGGTAAGTACTCAATGCAAACAGCCCAAGGGTAAGTACTCAATGCAAACAGCCCAAGGGTAAGTACTCAATGCAAACAGCCCAAGGGTAAGTACTCAATGCAAACAGCCCAAGGGTAAGTAGTCAATGCAAACAGCCCAAGGGTAAGTACTCAATGCAAACAGCCCAAGGGTAAGTAGTCAATGCAAACAGCCCAAGGTTAAGTACTCAATGCAAACAGCCCAAGGGTAAGTACTCAATGCAAACAGCCCAAGGGTAAGTACTCAATGCAAACAGCCCAAGGGTAAGTACTCAATGAAATTTTTAATTTTCCAATGGGTGTCACCCTTAGGAGGGTGTCACCCTTAGGAGGGCGTCACCCTTAGGAGGGCGTCACCCTTAGGAGGGTGTCAACCGGTGCGGTCAGCGCCCACCGCATATTGATGCTTCTGTGTTGGTCCAATCCATGTTGACTCCCCGCTGCCGGTGTGCTGTTTGTAGAGCGTTGGTCCTTTAAGTGTCCTCACGAGTTGGAGAGCGTAGGTCCTTTAAGTGACGTCACGAGTTGGAGAACAAGTTTGTCCCTTTGAAAACTAGGATGGAAATAACTTCCATAATCATTGGTTTATGTTTGCACTGGCATGACATAGGATTGTCCTCCATATTCCACTGGCATGTCATAGGATTGTCCTCTACATTCGACTGACATGTCATAGGAAAGTCCTCCATATTCCACTGGCACATCATAGGACTGTCCTCCATATTCCACTGGCACATCATAGGACTGTCCTCCATATTCCACTGGCACATCATAGGACTGTCCTCCATATTCCACTGGCACATCATAGGACTGTCCTCCATATTCCACTGGCATGTCATAGGAGTGTCCTCTATATTCCACTGGCATGTCATAGGAATGTCCTCTATATTCCACTGGCACATTATAGGACTGTCCTCCATATTCCCCTGGCATGTCATAGGAGTGTCCTCTATATGCCACTGGCACATCATAGGACTGTCCTCCATATTCCACTGGCATGTCATAGGAATGTCCTCTATATTCCACTGGCACATCATAGGACTGTCCTCCATATTCCACTGGCATGTCATAGGAGTATCCTCCATATTCCATTGGCATGTCATAGGAGTATCCTCCATTTTCCACTGGCATGTCATAGGACTGTCCTCCATATTCCACTGACATGTCATAGGAGTATCCTCCATATTCCACTGGCATGTCAAAGGAGTATCCTCCATATTCCACTGGCATGTCATAGGAGTGTACTATATTCCACTGGCACATCATAGGACTGTCCTCTATATTCCACTGGCTTGTCATAGGAGTGTCCTCCATATTCCACTGGCATGTCATAGGGGTATCCTCCATATTCCACTGGCATGTCATAGGAGTGTCCTCCATATTCCACTGGCATGTCATAGGAGTATCTCCATATTCCATTGGCATGTCATTGGAGTGTCCTCACATCAGATTTGGAACCAATTTTGTGCATAAGTACTTGATTTTAAACTCCAGAATATTTATTAACATGCATTACCAGAGAGGCAGAGACACAAAGCAGGAAATATCCTCGACGGAAATTTGATCGACGGAAATGTGATTAATTTCTCATTTCAGCATCTCGTGTCGCCACCTGAACAACAGGGACGTAACTCTCCTGGAACTGGCGGACACGCAGATAGCCAACAATGTCCACAGGGCCATGAAGGTGGCCGAGGTACGGCTATCCACTTACGTGACCTTCTGCTGGTCAGGCTCTAGACTTATGTCAGGCAGGCTCTAGACTTAGGTCAGGCTCTATACTTAGGTCAGGCTCTAGACTTAGGTCAGGCTCTATACTTAGGTCAGGCTCTATACTTAGGTCAGGCTCTTCTAGCACATCTGCAACGGACTGACTTGAATGTCAGGTCAATGACTCCATAACTGTAACTTCAAGTATTTAATTCTATGTGTATGACTCTAGGTACAAGTCTATTTTTTTCGTGTCAGAGTCTATGACTACTGAATTAAAAACTCATTATTTAATTTCAATGGTTATCTGGTTGTTCAAAGCACGATATGATTTTTGAGACTATATCTCCTACACAATGATCCTACTTCCTAGACTTACTACACAATGATCCTACTTCCTAGACTTACTACACAATGATCCTACTTCCATGACTTGCTACACAATGATCCAACTCCCAAGACTTACTACACAATGATCCTACTTCCAAGACTTACTACACAATGATCCAACTCCCAAGACTTACTACACAATGATCCTACTTCCAAGACTTACTACACAATGATCCTACTTCCAAGACTTACTACACAATGATCCTACTTCCTAGACTTACTACACAATGATCCTACTTCCAAGACTTACTACACAATGATCCTACTTCCTAGACTTACTACACAATGATCCTACTTCCAAGACTTACTACACAATGATCCAACTCCCAAGACTTACTACACAATGATCCTACTTCCTAGACTTACTACACAATGATCCTACTTCCAAGACTTACTACACAATGATCCTACTTCCTAGACTTACTACACAATGATCCTACTTCCAAGACTTACTACACAATGATCCTACTTCCTAGACTTACTACACAATGATCCTACTTCCAAGACTTACTACACAATGATCCTACTTCCTAGACTTACTACACAATGATCCTACTTCCAAGACTTACTACACAATGGTCCAACTCCCAAGACTTACTACACAATGATCCTACTTCCTAGACTTACTACACAATGATCCTTCTTCCAAGACTTACTACACAATGATCCTACTTCCTAGACTTACTACACAATGATCCTACTTCCTAGACTTACTACACAATGATCCAACTCCCAAGACTTACTACACAATGATCCTACTTCCAAGACTTACTACACAATGATCCTACTTCCTAGACTTACTACACAATGATCCTTCTTCCAAGACTTACTACACAATGATCCTACTTCCTAGACTTACTACACAATGATCCTACTTCCTAGACTTACTACACAATGATCCAACTCCCAAGACTTACTACACAATGATCCTACTTCCAAGACTTACTACACAATGATCCTACTTCCAAGACTTACTACACAATGATCCTACTTCCTAGACTTACTACACAATGATCCTACTTCCTAGACTTACTACACAATGATCCTACTTCCAAGACTTACTACACAATGATCCTACTTCCTAGACTTACTACACAATGATCCTACTTCCAAGACTTACTACACAATGNGCATTCACCCATTCTAACTATACCATCTTGTACATTGGCTGGTCGCATTCACCCATTCTAACTATACCATCTTGTACATTGGCTGGTCGCATTCACCCATTCTAACTATACCATCTTGTACATTGGCTGGTCGCATTCACCCATTCTAACTATACCATCTTGTACATTGGCTGGTCGCATTCACCCATTCTAACTATACCATCTTGTACATTGGCTGGTCGCATTCACCCATTCTAACTATACCATCTTGTACATTGGCTGGTCGCATTCACCCATTCTAACTATACCATCTTGTACATTGGCTGGTCGCATTCACCCATTCTAACTATACCATCTTGTACATTGGCTGGTCGCATTCACCCATTCTAACTATACCATCTTGTACATTGGCTGGTCGCATTCACCCATTCTAACTATACCATCTTGTACATTGGCTGGTCGCATTCACCCATTCTAACTATACCATCTTGTACATTGGCTGGTCGCATTCACCCATTCTAACTATACCATCTTGTACATTGGCTGGTCGCATTCACCCATTCTAACTATACCATCTTGTACATTGGCTGGTCGCATTCACCCATTCTAACTATACCATCTTGTACATTGGCTGGTCGCATTCACCCATTCTAACTATACCATCTTGTACATTGGCTGGTCGCATTCACCCATTCTAACTATACCATCTTGTACATTGGCTGGTCGCATTCACCCATTCTAACTATACCATCTTGTACATTGGCTGGTCGCATTCACCCATTCTAACTATACCATCTTGTACATTGGCTGGTCGCATTCACCCATTCTAACTATACCATCTTGTACATTGGCTGGTCGCATTCACCCATTCTAACTATACCATCTTGTACATTGGCTGGTCGCATTCACCCATTCTAACTATACCATCTTGTACATTGGCTGGTCGCATTCACCCATTCTAACTATACCATCTTGTACATTGGCTGGTCGCATTCACCCATTCTAACTATACCATCTTGTACATTGGCTGGTCGCATTCACCCATTCTAACTATACCATCTTGTACATTGGCTGGTGGCATTCACCCATTCTAACTATACCATCTTGTACATTGGCTGGTCGCATTCACCCATTCTAACTATACCATCTTGTACATTGGCTGGTCGCATTCACCCATTCTAACTATACCATCTTGTACATTGGCTGGTCGCATTCACCCATTCTAACTATACCATCTTGTACATTGGCTGGTCGCATTCACCCATTCTAACTATAAAGTAAATAGATAACTGTCCCCATTTCCTCAGATGGGCGGCTGGTGCCTGGTTGGACTGGCAGGAACCAAGGTTCTCATCAGTGCCTACACCTTCCTCCTCATCTGGTTCCACTTCCACTATGCGCCTTATCTCCTGGATGACAGCGACAGTTTCTTCTCTGATCTGAGTTCACCCTGAGAGACCCGGGAATCTAAATTTTAGACTATCTGTCATACAGGTACTTTTACTTTTAAAAAGTTGTTTAAAAAATTGCCTTGTTTTCATAAAGATGGAAATCTGCCTCTAGGAACAAAATTCATGTCCATTTATTTTACTACAAATAGTCTGTTTGAAGAAGGAGATGCTTAGCAAAAATCAACAACACATGAACCAAGTCTCAATGACTAAATAAATGGGAGAACGCATTCTACTAAAAAGAAAGGACCAAATTTTAGCATGAAATGTTGATGCCATATTTCTTATACATTTATTTACAATTAAAGGCATGGGGTATATTTACACAGACCAATTAGGACAAAATGATTCAAAGTAAATAATTACAATTATAATCAAACTACTTAAAGATTAAAAGCAAATACAAATATATTTTTTACTCGTCTAAAAAAATTTGTACGTGATCACATTGACAAGCTCTGTTGAATAAAGTGATCACATTGAAAAGCTCTGTTGAATAAAGTGATCACATTGACAAGCTCTGTTGAATAAAGTGATCACATTGACAAGCTCTGTTGAATAAAGTGATCACATTGACAAGCTCTGTTGAATAAAGTGATCACATTGAAAAGCTGTGTTGAATAAAGTGATAATGTTATTTTATGGATCATTGTCATTTTTTGGTGTAAGTTTACAGCCGAAAAAAAAACATTTTTTTTTTGTATGACCTTCTTCAGGTTTTTCTTTGGCCTGTGTAACTGTTGTGTACCTGTGTATGTTTCTCTGGCCTGTGTAGCTGTGTATGTTTCTCTGGCCTGTGTAACTGTGTATGTTTCTCTGGCCTGTGTAGCTGTGTATGTTTCTTTGTTTTCTGCAATTAGAACAAATCTGTGACCAGATACAAAATGAGATAAACAGATTGCTTGGCTTTTCAATTCACATTTCACAACACTTCATAGACATGCTATGCAATACTGTCTGTAGCCACCTGGAAACAGTGATAACCCCCTAGACATGGACACCATGGACACAGTTATGTCCCTTGGACACAATCATGTCCCCTAGTGTTGTTGGGGTCAGTTGTGGTCATCATCTAAGTGTTGTTGGGATCAGTTGGGGATCATTATCTAAGTGTTGCTGTGGTCATCATTTAAGTATTGTTGGTTTCAAGGTCATCACCTAAGTGTTTTTGGGGTTAAGGTCATCATTTGGGTGTTGTTTGAGTCAGAGTCATCATCTAAATATTGTTGGGGTCAAGGACATCATTTTTTCTTCTTCAATATCTTGAGGGCCCACAATGAATGTACTATGTGACAAATGTTCAACATTTCTAGAGATTCAATGTCCATACTTTCATCAAAGAACCAAAGTTGTAACTCATCAATGAAGTTTTTTAGCACTATGTCAACAATGACCGGTCAATGGTTGAACCTTATATTTGTGTCAACAATGACCGGTCAATGGTTGAACCTTATATTTGTGTCAACAATGACCGGTCAATGGTTGAACCTTATATTTGTGTCAACAATGACAGGTCAATGGTTGAACCTTATATTTGTGTCAACAATGACAGGTCAATGGTTGAACCTTATATTTGTGTCAACAATGACAGGTCAATGGTTGAACCGTAAATATTGAAAACACTTACAACTCTCCTGACAAACAAAAATGTTAACACTATTCACATCCTATGTGACAAATTTTAACACTTCACATTCTGTGAGACAAATGTTGGCACCATAAACAATATCTTAAGAAAAATATTTTGATAGCATTTACAACTCTCATGACAAATGTACCATCAAAATTCTTTTCTGTTTGCTCTCAATTAAGATCTACCACAGCAATACAAAGCAACTGTCTAGATCTACCACAGTAATACAAAGCAACTATCAAGATCTACCACTGAGCAGGATCATACACAATCTGCATTTTTTCTGTGTTTTTTTGCTTTTTTAAAATTCAGTTAACTCAAATTAGAGATGCATAGTGATAATATTCAAATTCATGTAATGAAAAGTAAATAAGTTAAGTAACGTGCATGGATCAAAAATGTGGTAAAACCAATGTGTATTCTTATCTCGACAAGAAAATATGTTAGTTATGCTAAAACAATTTTGGCTGTTCTTAACTCGATGCCGGGCCTCACTTTAAGATAACATCTTTGAATTCCCTACCGGTTCCAGTGCTAGAGTTTCACAGAGAAGGACGCCCCGCAGGAGCAGCCCTGTTCAGCTTTGGGGTTGTTGATGATTCTAAATGATGACCGAATCATCTCATGATAAAAATCTACAGTGGACCCTTTAACCAAGTCCAGAGAATCTTTGTCTATCACAACCTTGACACCGTCTTTTTCAAACACTCTGAAATACACCCAAAAAAATGAAAAAAAAAGTAAAAAAATTCTCTAAGCAAGAATGAGACAAAATATGAGCTGACTTTTTTTTGTCCAAAGCAGAAATATATCAAATTTTACATATCAATTTTTACATTATCAAATTTGACATTATCATATTTGTTTCATGTGACTGTTTCTAGGTGATTGGTTGCCTCCTTCATCGTAATCAGTTAGCATAAAGAAATATAGAAAAAAAATGCTTCAGATTTTAAATAAGAAAATATAAAAGTAACAACTTTCTCAATGAACTTAAGATGAAAAGTGAGGAATTATTTACTCCAAAAAGGCTGCACGAAAAGAACAATCTTTTTTTTTAAATGCAGATTCATAATTTCACTAAAATGTTTACAAAAAAGGTAAATAAAATGTCCACCAAAATTGGTTTGATTAAAATCCACTATTGACAAAAACATTGTACAAAATATTCTAGCTCTGAAATGTGTTCTTATCTGCAGCCCACAAATAACAAACATTTGAATTATTTCACGTTATGTCAAATCCGCATTTTGACAAAAAACTGATGGATTATATATTTACCTTTCATTTCTAGATCAATTAATTTTGTTTAACTTTAATATTTAATCAATTATAAAATCTTGCAACATGCCAGTGAACTTTGGCAACACACCTGTTGTATGGCAACATAATATTGTATGGCAACACACCATTGTATGGCAACACACCATTGTATGGCAACACACCATTGTATGGCAACACACCTGTTGTATGGCAACACACCATTGTATGGCAATGGCAACACACACCATTGTATGCCATAACACCTGTTGTATTGCAACACAACCATTTACAACCACGAATTTAGATGATGACCAAATATAGTACAATGATTCACCTGTCCTCTTCTGTCACTGCAGAATCGAGCTCAAATTTGTATTGAAAGCCAGAGCAGCCTCCCCCTTCCACCATGACCCGTAAGTGTCTGACACCATCTTGAATCTCTTTCAACCGCTGAGGATACATTTTGTCATGAGTTGTTATTCATAAGATGTATAACATCAACAATACAAAAAACAACTGTTCCAGTTCAAGCTAAAAGAAATTAGATGTCAGTGGTTGTCACAGGAAAGTCAAATCTTGACAAAGACATGGGAAGAAAAGCAATAGTCTTTGTGAATGAAGATTACTTTACAGTCTGAATGGGGTAGCTTAAGAAGGATTTATTTATATTATATTTAATTAAAATTGACAATAACTTTCAATAACAGTTTGAAATCAATACATAGAATCTAATATGCTAAACCTTATAAACAGGCTACATCCCTTCTACAATTTACGCTTACGGCTGGCCCAACACCTCATTTACTTTCTGCATATATTTAGGTCAAATACTATTTTCAGGACAGCATTTCCTTTGAGTATGGCTTCCATTTAAAATTCTTTCAGGCTAATTCCCATTAAAAACAATTAAAAAGGAAAATTATCATTATGTAAATGTATACATTGTGTTGGTAAATGTTAGTTTGGTGCGCCACTCATTTCCCATGGCCGCCATCACCCGTCAACCCGCGGGTCATGGCAACCAAGATGAGGGCAGTGTAAACAACAACAAAAATTGCAAACACATGTCTGCTAACATGGGGAGGGAAAAAAGAGAGAATGTGGTGTTTTAGTTACTTACAGAGATAAGCTAAAAATAGGAAAAAAATGTTAAAATTTAATGAAATAATTTCAGCCAAGGGGTCGTCCATTAATTACGTCAACAATTTTTATGCATCTATTTTAATGACGCAAAATTGTAGGTAAAACATTTCACTACATGTTTAGCTTGTTAATCAAAATGTTAAAAAGTTTTTACACTTAATTTTTATATTGCAGAATCAATTAAAAGGTCGTTAAAGACTAAATATCATTGTTTGTGGAAGTATAAATATAATTATAGACTATTATAGTATAGTTTCTAGCTGCTATTATCTTCTCATGGAGTAGCCAGGTGTTGCTCTATCGTAACAATGGGCATCAGGGACATCATTTGGGTAGGGCAGGTGGGAATTTGCCCCCCTCCCTGAATTAGCAGGTTTTATTTAAATTGCTACGTACTGTGGCGCCTCCAGTAATAAGCAACTTGACAAGCCGACCAAGTTTTGGTTTTGCCCCCCCTCCCCCCTGAAAAACACTTGAAATGACGCCCGTGATGGGCCTAGTCTATAGTAGCTGATTTATCAAGTTCATCTTGAGGAACTGATGTACCAGACAAGTCAACATCATACTCATCTAACCATTCAGCACTTAAAATTGAAGCATTGTCGGTGTGAGCAATAATTGGCATAAGCTCTCTCTGTCTCCTGGCAGCTATTCGCATTGGTTAAGTACTTTTTTGTGGAGTAAGTAGCAGGTGGCAATTTCTTATGCTGAAGAGGGCATTGTCAGTGCTGTTGAACATGCTTTTTCAACATGACTTGTGATGCAAAATCGATGTTACAGATTTTGCAAATCCGTTCAAGCAGCAATGTTATTATTATTACTCACCTTACTTTCCCCTAATTCTCAAATCATCATATTCCTACTCGAACAATATCATTTATCTTGATTGCGCATGACACTTAAAAACTATTTGACTATTGACACCCATTAAATTTTTGTAAATAATGTAATAACCAGTCAATTTTAATTTAATAGAGAAAACATGATTATTGACGTCCAGTTATCTAAACCCCCCCCCCCCCCCCTTGTCAACAACTGTCAACCCCCCCCCCCCTATTTTGGTGACATAATTAATGGACGACCCCCAATAAATTGATTGTCAACCACTTCCCCCCCCCCCCCCCCCCTATTTTGGTGACATAATTAATGGACGACCCCCAATAAATTGATTTCATGGCAAATATTGTAACTTTATTTATTCCTCTAGACATGAGGCAAGAAGTGTCAATGACCAGCGGTGGTCCATTTTTCTGTCTTAATTTCAGCAGGTACATTTTTATATGGCAAACATGGCAACTTTATTGTATCCCTCTAGCTGTCGTAATTTCAGCCAGTACTTTAATTTTTGGGTGAACATAGCTACTTTATTTTATTTATTTATTTATTTAGGCATTTTTATATAGCACTTACCTTAAAGCTCTAAGCGCTTTAAAATTATTAAAAACATGTAAACTAACTACAATAAAAATGAGACATTAGGATAGTAACTACTATACTATAGAAACAATTGAAATGACACTTAGGCACGTTTTGGCCTATACTACAGGATTAACCCGAGACAGAACTCCCTTCTCTCAACTAAAGCATGTGTGCTACATTTACACACTGTGGTAAGAATAGGGTCACTCCCTTCTCTCAACTAAAGCATGTGTGCTACATTTACACACTGTGGTAACCATAGTGTCAGATTAAAGAAAAACGATATTAAGTATTTTTAAAATAATGAAACTTACAATTTCATAGAATAGACTTTTACACATTTTATAGCAGGTTCCACCAAAAAAAAGAGCCAGGAGTTAACAAGATCAATACAATACCCATTTTCCAAAATGCGGAAAATTTAAATATTATAATACCCACCCAATCAAATTATAATTTAAAAAATTTCATCTGCGTATAAATATTAAATATTAATATTAACCATCCCAAGAATAAACAAAAGGGAGAGAAACCTACACTGAAACTCAGAGTGGCATGCTGAACCAACATTAACCAAAGCCAAGTCAGTTGAGTTGTACTCCCAAATATAAAATTCACCTCACATGAATTAGGATCTTCTCATTTTATTACCTTGACGCAACTGTCACTAAGACGGAGGTCACCTCGAGCCTCTAAACTGGAAGTTTGAGTGGACACTGATGGTTGAGTATGGACACCTTTTGATGAGGTCAATAATTTTTGCTTAATAAGAAATTTTCTTGCATATGTGACCCGTGAAGCTCTGAAATTATATTTTTAAAGGTATAAATAATAACTGATTAGTTGGGGTCTCGTCATATCAGGCTGTTTTGAAAAATCAAAATAGGAGCCTAGAATTAAAGTATTTAACATGTCAAGAAAAGTTGATAACAGTGGTGATAATAAAAAATTAAATAAATTTTAGTTTATTAGACCTATGCCATAGTATTTACCTAACTATAACTATGCAGTCATACAGTGTTATCATTATCAAAGTTATCAATACTGATTTTTACTGTCCATACTCTCATAGTCATAGCCATCTTAGTCTTAGTCATAGCCATAGAATAGCGGCCTATCATGGCCTAATAATATTAATATTAATAATATAATTAAAAATATAGTCTATAATTATACAGTAACAGTAGAGTGTCACACAAAATGTAAATGTTTACAATACTGTTGCGGCACATGCAATACCGGTAATTTAAAAAATAATGAAAATTAATGTAAATTCAATCACAATTTAAATAGCTAAACAGTTGTTAAAACATACACTCTGGGTAACATGAAAGTCTTCCACAAAGATGACATTTTTAACTTTGTTGTTGTTTCCCTTTCTGTTTCCGTTTCCGTAGTCGAGTATTAATTAGACAGTCGATTACAGGGATTGATGGCGTCATCGACACCGACACGGCCGCTAAGCAAATCAGTGGTTTCCAGGTTTTATGTTACTGACCCTATATTTAGAAAAGTATTTTTTTTTAAATAATAAATATTATTGGCACCAATTCTTTCATAAAATAAATTTGGAAATAATGTGAGTTATTATAAAATTATATATATATATATATATATATATATATATATATATATATATATATATATATNATATATATATATATATATATTATTTAATAGGCCGATACAATTTATTCAATTTTGCCATTTATTTTTGCCATAGTAATAGATGGCTGTTATTTTAAGTGTTTTACTTAAAGGGGCCTTCCAAATTAAAACTGGCCCTGTTAAATTTCACTGCCCATATTCCTCTTGGTCATTGGTTGGATCATGAGGATGACCTATGCGCAGAAGCGAACTGGTACACAATGGACAATCTGGAAACGGGCCATCTCAGCTTTACTGACATGGTACTTCCCTTTCACACATAACAAGAAAATGTAGGATGTACCAATAATATTGCTGACAATTCTGCTAACATTGACTCGAACGTCCTCAAAGCGAAGAGTTAAGTCCTCGGTGCTAACATAACCACGATGGCAGAAAAAAAGCCTGGAAGATATTGAAATATTGACATTCCTTGGAAGCATTATAGTACAGAGGCGCAGCTAGATTGTTTGAGACTCTGAAACATATTATTTTCATTAATAAAATACAATCAAAGCCCATTTTGTCGCCCCACAAGTCTAGCGTGCAGGGATATGTGTCTCCCAACCTCCCCCCCCCCAGCTACGCCTCTGCAGACATAAAATTAAGGTGTGGAAAAAACAAGAACAGCATTCAAGCACCTGATAATTTGTCTGGCCAAGCCCAGCTACGCCACTGGCCGTCCGCAAAGTCCCCTAAATAACCAACCCCCACCCACGAAGTACGAAAGCAACATATGAAGGGCCGCTAATCTAGGGAAAGTTTCATATTGACTTGGATGAAACTAGTATTAGCTATCAATATCATAAACATTTTATGCCGTTAATTAAAACCCGTTAATTAGTTAATCTGGATTAAAACATAAATACACAAGACAGTCACACATACATTTAAATTTAGTACACATATTGGTAATGAGGGAGGGTACTTAAATGTTGTTTTTTTTTAATCCTCTATATTATATTAACTTCGCTTTTGTGTGTTTAGGGAAAAATCTTCAGGCGTATAAGTGACCCACTTCCCGTCGACTTATCGAGCTGAAACTTGGCACATAGACTCACTGCCGATGACAACACCTTATTTCAAATGTTCAGCCCTATCCCTCAACCCCAACAATCTGTTTGTTTGATGTTGTTGTTTTTTTTTTGTTTTTTTTGTTGTTTTTTTTTTTTTGGGTGGGGGGGTGTGGGGGTGGGGGAGATGTAGGAAATACGCTGCCACTGATTTCTTGAAATAAATTCCGATAACTGCGCTAAATGAGATTCTTTAAAAAAAAAAAATATCCCAAGCGCGTTTGGTGAGTAATATTTTCTTGTTTTTTCTGAAATAGTTGGTGAACTAAAAATGCGGTGTAGAAGCGAGTGGGAGATTTGAATATTAATATAAAATAATTTTAAAATGCATATAATATAAAGAATTTACACGAAAAGCTTTGTGTGTTGAGGGGTTGTTTAGCTTAATTTTAAACTTAACATCAACAATTATAATGGGACATAACAAATGAATTTATTTAAAGGGGAACAATGAAATGTTTATTTAGTTTTCTGAAGAATGCTTTTTTTTTTTTTTTTTTTTAAAGAAATTTTATGAGTAAAAAAAAAGGGGCCTACGTAAACATTGTTAGAATTAGAAAATCATAAAATTAAATGAGATTAATCCAGCGTGTTTTAAATCGTAAGAGCATTTTTTTTTTTTTTTTTTTTTTAAAGAAATTTTATGAGTAAAACAAAAGGGGCCTACGTAAACATTGTTAGAATTAGAAAATCATAAAATTAAATGAGATTAATCCAGCGTGGTTTAATTTGACTTAAAAATTGTATTAGTATTATACCGGTATAAGAGCTATTTAAAAACCAATTAACTTTTAAATCGAGTAAACAGTGAACTTGTATCGGAAGACTTTATAAAAACTCTTTTTTCATTTGTGGGTACATAAAGTAAAATTTAAGGGGAGACAAGAAAGAAGTAAGGGAAACAACACAAGCCATTTTCCTAAGACGGTATTCAATATTATTCAAAGGGCGGCTTCTTGGGTGACTGTCACCTTGTGCCAAGTAAAATCAGCTTTCACATTCCCTGTACAGTGACTATCACCTAATGCCAAGTAAAATCAGCTTTCACATTCCCTGTACAGTGACTATCACCTAATGCCAAGTAAAATCAGCTTTCACATTCCCTGTACAGTGACTATCACCTAGTGTCAAGTAAAATCAGCTTTCACATTCCTCATACAGTGGCTGTCACCTAGTGTCAAGTAAAATCAGCTTTCACATTCCTCATGCAGTGACTGTCACCTAATGCCAAGTAAAATTAGCTTTCACATTCCCCATGCAGTGACTGTCACCTAATGCCAAGTAAAATCAGCTTTCACATTCCTCATACAGTGGCTGTCACCTAGTCCTAGTGCCAAGTAAAATCAGCTTTCACATTCCCTGTACAGTGACTGTCACCTAGTGTCAAGTAAAATCAGCTTTCACATTCCTCATGCAGTGACTGTCACCTAATGCCAAGTAAAATTAGCTTTCACATTCCCCATGCAGTGACTGTCACCTAATGCCAAGTAAAATTAGCTTTCACATTCCCCATGCAGTGACTGTCACCTAATGCCAAGTAAAATCAGCTTTCACATTCCTCATACAGTGGCTGTCACCTAGTCCTAGTGCCAAGTAAAATCAGCTTTCACATTCCCTGTACAGTGACTGTCACCTAGTGTCAAGTAAAATCAGCTTTCACATTCCTCATGCAGTGACTGTCACCTAATGCCAAGTAAAATTAGCTTTCACATTCCCCATGCAGTGACTGTCACCTAATGCCAAGTAAAATTAGCTTTCACATTCCCCATGCAGTGACTGTCACCTAATGCCAAGTAAAATCAGTTTTCACATTCCCTGTGCAGCACATTGATAAATTTGGTTTATGTATGTGTTGTTGCTTGGCTGCAATTGAAGCAATCTCTTTAATGGAGCATGTGATTAGAATGTGAAAACATTTTCTTGGAATCAACCCACCTTTGGCCACTATGAAAGGTGAAGGTTAAGCACAAAGATGGCGAATGTCAGCAAGACTCTTCACAAGCTAGGTTATAAAAATATTGACAAGTGGTTCTGTTCAAAAGCCATTTTGACCATGGAATAAAGTCTTACTGTACCGGTGCATGAGTTTTGCACCTTCACCACTCACACACATTCACGCACTTTTAAATTGAAAAGATGATCATGACATTAACAAGTATTGTTTATTAATCAAACTACACATAGAAATACTGACTGATAAATTGCTCTAGCATTTCAAGAAGTGTCAAATACTTGACAGAAGTGTCAAACAATTGACCACCAAAACACAGCCTGGCAACAAAAGAAACAAACAATATTGCTGTTATGTGTCATTTTAAAAAGAAATAAATAGGAAAATGGAAAAAAAAAAAAACATGAAAAATTTGTTAGAGACAGCAAATAACATGTTTTGAATTTATTTTTTTGACTAGTAGGTAAAAGACATGAACAAAGTAAAATCCCCCCCCTCCCTTTTGTTTGTCCAGGTGTGGTATATCGGTGAAGTGGATCATACATCAAGACCAACAGCTAATTTCATATCAACACATGTGCTAGACTTAGTGAACAAGAGCATTAAAGAAAAGTAAATACATCAACAATTGGATTTTGTGTACATGTACAGCTAGAGTGTTTGTGTGTGGCTTAGTGGACATCAATTGATGTACGGACACAAGGAAAGATTATCTCCTTATCTTGTATGTGTGCCATGGAGCATGGTGTGTCTGCCATACATGGACCTAGGTAAATGTGTCTCACATACAAGAATGAAGTCTTTGTGTCTCTCATACATGGACATTAGTGGGTGTGTGTTGCACATGACTTGATTGGTGAGATGGTCAATAACCAGGACTGCCAAGTCAAGGAATGAGAACCTTTTGGCAAGAGTTGGAATTGAATTGACACAAATTGAAGAAGAAAAAAAGGAGGGAAGGGGTATTAAAATTTTGAGTTGTCCGTTTTATTGTGTATTAAAAATTAATTCTGTGATGCTTTACACCGGAGACAAGAGAATATAATCAAAAAATAATCATATAGTCATATAATCAAGATATTAATCATACATTTGTCCAACTCCACAGCCCTAGTTGTAGGACAAAATGAAAGAAATGGAACAAAAAATTCTTTCACACAAACCAATGTGTAACATGTCAATGGAATTATCCTAATATAATTATATATATATTATTTAATTCAAAAAAGGAAGCTTTTTTTCAGAGAGAGAGAGAGAGAGAGAGAGAGAGATAGAGAGAAGAGCGTATAAATAGTGGATTGTAGGCATTACTTACTTATGTTGAGAAGGCTAAAAAAATGTGATGGTTTGACATTCACAGGCAATGCAACCGTTTTAATCAATTTGATCTGAAGATTAATAACGCCCCAAAAAAAAAAAAAAAGCTTTCTTTTAAATGTTGAAACTCATGACCGGTGCAACACATGACAGACTGGATGATATTATGTTGAGAATGATAAAAAAATGTGATGGTTTGACATTCACAGGCAATGCAACCGTTTTAATCAATTTGATCTGAAGATTAATAACGCCCCAAAAAAAAAAAAAAAAGCTTTCTTTTAAATGTTGAAACCCATGACCGGTGCAACACATGACAGACTGGATGATTCCATGACCGGTGCAACACATGACAGACTGGATGATTTAACAATTTTTATAATTTAAAAAAAA